GGAGGCTGGAGATACTGCAGACATTACTTACTCAAACTAGAAACTGCTCTTTTGGCTCAATGCTGTAACCTAGAATTACATTTGGTGGAGTCAAAATAGGGATTTGTAGTTTGAGTAAATAATGTCTACAGTATCTTCAGTCTTGTTTACTTGCTTTTTTGCGATTCCTAATTTCAGGTTTTTAAATTCCCAATTTTTTATTTATATTGTTTGCTGTCTTTTTATGCTCAACTATGGGCAAAAGATTGCTTGATATGGTAGCTAACTTTATACATTGTAATGATAATAAACATAGCTAGTAGCTAGCTGATACGGTTTATGATGATTTACTGTAGCTATTAACTATTTAATCGCATTAGTTTAAGATGTAAAAATGTTAAGCTGTAGCTGGAGATTGTCATGGAGATTTTTTTTAGAATATAGTGAGCATTTATCGTTTATGTGTAACAAATTCTCTATATATAATGCATAGACTAAGATACAACCCCCACTCAGCGTGTATAAAATTTTATCAGTAGAAGAGCAGCTTTTTAAAATAAAACATATACGTATAAAACATCGCTTTATATAAAACATCGTGCCCTTTAAATTAATTATTCTACGAACGTATGTAATAAAATTTAATATTATGTATATTGATGTTTTTACTCTTTCACTTCATACATAATATAGTGGTTGGCTCCCTAAAGACACCGATTTTATAGTGTACAAAGTATTGAGTATCTACATGTTATAGTCATCTATTATTAGCAGGTAATTTCTGTTTCACTCTGAACTTAAGCTTTTTAATGGAACACCACATATCTGTAAGAAAACTAACTTCCAGGGGAACGCCCTCACGGCTGAAACGGCGAGCATGTTTGGTGTGACGGGGACTCGAACCCGCGATCCTCAGATTGGAAGTCGAGTGCCTTAACCACCTGGCCATGCCGGGCCCGGGATCGCAAGGAATTGCACAAAACCCTAACAGAACGTTCGGGCCAAAAACACCTCAAACAGTAAAGATGCGGGTTCAGATAACACTTTAAAAACCTTTACTGTTGACTGCTAAGGCTGTACGCTTACAAAAATGCACAAAAAATCACACATGTTAGACTTACAATAAAAAGAAAATCCGCTCAAAACGGCCCGTTTATAGTTTTTCTCCTTTTTCTTATTCTCTTGCCAACCTACAACAAAAACGGCTTGTTATATTGGCAATACCCTTTTGTAGGATATTAAATAGGGCACTGCGAAGGTCGTATGGGTATTGAAAAGTTGATTTGTTTTTCTGTATTTTACATAAGCTAAAAAAAGCATCATAATTCTAGTGTAAATGATGTTATCATTAATAATGTGACGGTCAATCCCACTATTCGTTGGTAAAAGAGTAGCCCAAGAGTTGGCGGTGGGTGGTGATGACTAGCTGCCTTCCCTCTAGTCTTACACTGCTAAATTAGGGACGGCTAGCGCGGATAGCCCTCGTATAGCTTTGCGCGAAATTCAAAACAAACAAACAAAATCCTTGCGATCCCTATTATGAACCACTATCGTGGTTCAGAATAATACATCTTGATTATGATTTAACCATTGTACATACAGATAGTCATGTAGTATGCATCTTAGAACGCTGACTATGGTGTAGGAAATATATATATATATACAACCTAAAATACTTTTAAAAAATAGGTGATGCAAAAGCTTGATCAACATTTTTACAAAAACAGCCTCTTGTTTCATTTTGACTAAGCGGTACATGTCCAGTAGTTTTACATTACTCATGTTTCAAGTGTTACCAATGGTCCAGATGTTAATTTGACAATAACACTGCTTAACTTCTAGCGAAATGATGGAATATCACCGGAAACAGACTTCATTCCTATTAACTTCCGTCATGCCTAACGAATTTGATCTACTAAATATGTTAGTATATGGCATAACAAAAACGTATTTTCTTTCAATAAAGAGATAAAAAATCTGTTTCATATACTTCATGGTGATATTTGATGGTACAATTCACAGCACGTTGACATTTTCACTGAAGGAAGTTTCAAGCCTTTGCACTACGTAAGCACATTACTGTAAACTTACTTTAATTGACCTATTTGTTTTTAATATACACGTACAGACTAAAGACCTAGGACAACACGCTCAATATAATACTTTAAGGGGGCATTTCCTTATTACATAAGCATGTTAAGAAATTCCTCTGTGAATACAATCTTCACCAATGTTTAAATTGTCGTATTAGATCAATCTACAAGTACAATCTCAAACAAAACACAAAAAGAGAAATGTTATCTTGGCCTGTATCCTTCCCAGATTTATAACAGACTCAATATTAACCGTAAAACTAGTAATCTGAGAGAATACTATCAAACAGTGTTTTAATGACTAGATTGCTGAATCAATGTCCAAATTCGTATTTCACATACATGACAAATATGTATGGCCACCGAAAGAATGAAGAATGACAGTGGTGCAACTTAAGGAGTATAGCAGTGGCATACCGTCAATAAGATTAACTTAAGTAGTATACCAGTGGCATATCGTCAATAAGATTAACTTAAGTAGTATACCGGTGGCATATCGTCAATAAGATTAACTTAAGTAGTATACCGGTGGTATATCGTCAATAAGATTAACTTAAGTAGTATACCAGTGGCATATCGTCAATAAGATTAACTTAAGTAGTATACCGGTGGCATATCGTCAATAAGATTGTAGTTTTTATTAGCTTATTAACATGAAACCAGAATTAAAGTTTATATAATATAATATATATATATATGCTATCATACAATTCTTATAATCCTCACATCTTACGAAATCCAAAACACTCGTGTAATTTTTAAACCACGATGTACCTAAGTTACAAACTGTGATTCTTACGAAAATGTCAATAAATGGATCCCGATGTTTACTAGTTGACTGACATAGCTCGAAATTCCTGCCAAATTCCGTCGTGTGAAGTGAAAACTGAGACTCAAGGCATTTGAGGAGCGGCAGTTTAACTAGCTTAAGCATCTGCAAGCGAGCTCAATTACCACCATTATAAATTTTCACTTCTTCAGAAAAACATTTTTAATTATACAGAATGGTGTGCCACCTTTAAAATTTCTCAAGATGTGATGTCTAAATTTTCGTTAATTTCAAGAGCATAAAAATTGAAATCTTAGAAGAAAATCAAAACCGGTGAATTACATAAAATCCATATATAAAACAAATTTGACACAGTAATATTTATTTCGACAAGTAAAATAACTGACTAGTAAGAAAAAGCTCATTAATAGTAAAGAGAACGATTTTTCTCAAGCATAACATTATTGCAAATTCTAACCTTTATTAAACTCGTATGATAATCTGTTTATTATCACATTCTGAAGTCTAAGCATAACATGAAACACCCAAGAAAAATTAAATGTTTACATTTCAGCAGTATTTTTTAATTAAATTTTAAGACATTCCTCGCACAACGGCAGATCAAACTCCGTTTATTTTTGTTTTTCTTTTCTTTTTCAAATTAAAGTGCAGACGAAGAATTGGATATGTAAATAAATGTTATTACATCCTTCTGATGATGTAATGTGTTATCATTCATTAGAATGACACGTACTTTTAACAAAACATTAATATATTTTTAACCACCATAGAAATCTGTAAGTATAATTTTTATCTAAGTAAAACGTACTAGAACGTTCACCTACCGACAACCATTAAAGTAAAGTTAAATCCTCGCTTAACTGCTTTCCTATACACCTGATTTGGCAAGTTGGCGAACCCAACATAATCCTGCATGTCATTGAGTGAAGATGATGATTCCTTTCCTTCGTCTTTTTCCTTCATCATATCTCTGTCTCTATCCATAAAATTTTCTTTAATGATATTTGTCGACAGATTAGAAATAGGCGAAGCGGGTCCATCTTGACGTAAAAACAGATCTCGCTTAGAGGAGAGCTGGAAATGAAGAAATTAGTTGATAAAAACATTCTAAACTTTTACAATTATTCCAACATTCTTTATCATTATTGTCTAATATTTATAAAACGGATCTAATGTTTATTATATCTATCTTTATAACTATAAAGCGAACACACATATACACGATCTAAACAAAACATAATAATCCAATAACATAATTCAACAATAATGTCAATACAAATGGCGGGAAAAAATTTCACGAATAAAACTTAAGTCGTAAACAATGGAATATGGGTTAGTGATGCCAAAATTGATCAAGTTCTGTAGCCTTATATACTTATCTCGACGATGTGATACGTTCCTATATATTTTATATATATCTATAAAGGTTCACTCTGTAAATTAGGTAGTAATTTATTTGTTTGTTTGTAATTAAGCACAAAGCTACACAATGGGCTATCTGTGCTCTATCCACCACGGGTATCGAAACCCGGATTCTAGCGTTGTAAGTCCGCAGACATACCGCTGTGCCACTGGGGGCTAGGTAGTAGTAAATCAACCCATTAACTGCTTAACCAGATAGCACAATATGGTAATCATACCCATAATAAAAAAAACCCTATAGGTGAAAAGAGAGGTAAATGGCTGATACGTTTAGATAGCTCTGTGGTAAAACAATGGCCCTATTAGCCAGAGGTCCTGAGTTCAATAAATCCACAGCCTTGGAATTTCTTTTCACATGAAAAGTTTATGTTAGCCAGACTCCTTTCATTTATTCACAACAGGATTGAAAATAATATATATATATACATCAAAATTACAGGTGTACACTAATATATAATGCAACACAAGCTATTTACTATGCGAAATAAAAGGACGTTGTGCGACTAGGTTCAACTTCAAACTAATATCACATTTATCGCCCATACTATGGTTTTGCTGAACGATTCTGGGCACAAACATTCTATATGTAGAATAATATAAATAAATAAGATAGTTATTTGAAAATTAACTTGTGCACATACAATTTTACCGAAACTGGCTTCAGTCTCTTTATATTGGACTGGCATAATTTTATTGTTAGGGCGCTTAACTCGCAACGTGCGATTCGTGGGATCGGAACCCCTCATATTATAATACCCTTTCAGTTGTGGGGACGTTATTATGTGTCAATCAATCCCACTGTTCGTTGTTTAACCTTAGGTTAAAATGTCTGTTTTCGTTTTATTCGTTTACATTTAATAATTTACTTAAATCACTTTCTTTGTACTTATTGTTATTATCTTTTAGACAGACATATATGCGAAAGTTTTAAGTTTTTACAACAGCAAAACGAATATATCTGTTTGCATCTGAATAGCATCATCAGTGATCATAACACAAACATCTATTATTTCCATCTTAATATTGGAAGGTCAACCAAAATTTTTATATTTAGTTGTATCTAGTTTCTTGCGCCCTCTGTAACACGAGTAGAATTTACTAAGTGACTGCTACAAAATTTGACGTTGACGAATTAATTGGCTTTTATGCGTTATTTCACCTACTTGACTTTGTCTACTGTAGTTCGAATGAAATGTATCGTATTTCATCAAATCTTAGCTTGCGTGTAACCTTCTTTATATGATAAAGTTCACCGATTATTTAGTTATATATATATACCAGTTGACCAACGTTAAAGGTCACGGCGCCTGTTTGACAAAAGTAAACGTAATGCTGTTTTATTGGTTATCACAGTCATCTTGGCATATACACATAGTACACCTGCCAATTTCTGAGTAATGTTTCAATTGTTAAGGCAACAGGATGTGTACAAGTACCAGTACTGAAATTACCAAATCTGTTGTTATCTTACACTTGGATTACACACACCTTATTGCTTTTCACTTCAATATCGAATATTTTTTCAGATGTTTCAAATGGTAATGAATGAACCCTAACAACAGTTTCGTGACGTAGCAAATCATAATATCATAATACTCCTTACTTACATCTACGTCATGGACAAAACATTGATATCATTTGGTACATCTTATCCATTCACGTAAGAATGTGATTTATAAAAGAAGGCTGTTGTCATTACGAGCTAATAAATTAGTTCTATCAGAAAACTCCATCCTTTTTCGTTTTTAAAAATGCATGCCTTATACAAGAAGACTAACTTGCTGGCTCGCCAATTCTTCTGAATGATGGTAAAATTAATTAAAATAAAATAATAAATAATTAGTGTTATAAAAAATTGAATAAATAATATTGTAATACTATTTCAATCCTTACTCTAAAAACCTGTTTTCTAAACGTCTTAAAAATTGATAATAATTACAGTTTACTTAACCTAGTTCATACCATAACAGTCGCTGTTCATGAAAAATGTTGATATAACGTCTAGACCACTCATTTGTCTATCGTATCCCAGCCGGCCTGATGAGCCCTGGTATTGGGCGAAATATCTCATTAGCGACTGGATATGGCAGATGTAGTGTAGTTGATATATTATAATACATTCTTCTTTACAATTCTTAGAATGAATAGTGACAATTGTTCCTTTCGATGAATACAAACTTGTATGTAACCTAAGTAAAGTTTTCATTGGGTTAACATATCCCTGTGTTGTATAATAAAATAACTCATTAAAGGTGTCTGGTATATTTGTTTTGGATATTTGCGCAAAGCTACACAAGGTTTATGTTCACTATTCGTCCCTAATTTTGAAGTGATAAACTTGAAGGAAGGTATCTATAGTCAACAGCACCCATGGCCAACTGTTGGGTTACTCTGATCGAATAGTGGGATTTGACCTTCACTCTTATAACGCACCTGTGAATCATGGACCCTCGGATTTACAGTCGAGTACGCTAATCTTCTGGTAACAATTTCAAGTTTGACAATGGTTTCAGTTTATGTACGTGGCATATAAATTGTGTGTGAGAGAAATAAATAAAGTTATATAATCCGATTTTGTTTTTTCTGTGGCAATGAAGTTTACAATATATTATGGTATATTTTACTGGGAACAATTTAACACAGCTAACAATTTGTAACTCAGACAGCCTAGAGAAACAAGAGAAGGTAATTCGTCTTGTATCTGTATTTGTGGTAAAGCTACTAAGGCTATCCGCCGTCTTCCCTAATTTTGAACTACTGACCAGAGGGAATGGAGCGTCAGTAACACCATATCGCCCACCATCTACGGTAAGGAGTTGACTATCATTCTCATAACGCACCTACAACTTAAAGTATGGGGAAGATTTTTGGTATCACTCGGATTTTAAACCTGGCTCGCCAGCTCCAAAATCCAGAGCCCTACCACAGAGACAACCTGCGCCCAGAGCATTTTGTAGTAAATATACACTGATGGAGATACGAAGCTGAAACGATTGTGTTAACTGAACATGTTTCTCTGATTAATCTGTATTCTATTATTGTTTTAGGTTACTTAACAAATCCTAAGGTTATTACTGCATCGTCTCTTTTGGAAAGCGAAGTATCGATGGCAGAAAAGCTGCTTTGTTTCATCTCTTTACAGTATTTAATGACCTACATGTATATTATGTTACCAATATCGAGTAAGTGTACTGACGTGTGCGTAAAAGTCAACTTTTGGCACGCGCTTAAAAAGACAAAAAAACAAAGGTGAAACCTAAACATATATATGACGTGTGCATATGAAAAGTTGAGGTCTTTAGTCGAATTCTAATTGAGGGGGAACTAAGAGTAATTTCATTCCATTTGTTAACAGAAAGAAAAACTGAACTCTGACTGTCAAATGCCTGATCGTGAGAACATGCAGCTGTGAGCAGATTTGAGGAGTTCCCCTTTTAACTGTTTCTTCAACTCGACTGCAGTCTCTTGTAAACATTATAACTTGTGAGTATAATTTTAAACCTCGAATTAAAGAGTTGAAGTTCATATACTAGAAGTTTTTAGTGTATTGATGACTTTCAAACATACACGAATGAATACATTTTCACCAGCACCAGCTGGTTATACGAAGTAAAATTCTATTATATATTAAACCCAGCAACAGAATGAATACAGTGCACAGATATATTACGACAGATATAGCTGTTGCAGTACAAATCTTCGTCTAATTACAATTTCGTGTAACGATACTACCAAAAATATCTGATTACTTCTCAGACAAGGCATTCATTCATATTCGATTGCTTGAAACACACCATATGAGGTCTGAAGAAAAATGCGTGACATCCAAAGCAGCTGGCACTGTTTTCTTAAGATCTTTGCTTTCATACATTTCAGAGAAAATGTCTATCATAAACCAGATAGTATTCATTGCTTTTAATTACGGAGAAGAAAATAATCAAGAAAGTAACAAATAATTCAACTTATGTAAATGTGATAATTTTACACTCTTTATCTCAAATTCTACATTTCCTTCATTCAAGGGTTAAGTCAGCCAGAAACACGGGTCACAGCTGAATGAAATGAAGCCTATGAATAGTTCTTTGAAAGTATAAACTAAGACCAGAATTAGAAGCAAAAGATTATTTCCGATTTTTGTCACAGTTGAAAACTGAAAATCCAATACCCAGAGAATACCTTGTTGAAATATCCTTTTTTAACCAGGTGCAAACTAAACATAATATATAGACTAAATTCGTCACAGAAATATTTAATTCCATCTGGTAACTTATTTGTAACTGACCTCAGTGGTTGAATGAGGCCCGATATACGGGGCCTACTTTGAAGAAACTAAGTTTGGCTTACTGAAACTAAACCTGTAACTGATTGAAACCAAGTCTGATCACATACGAAACAACACGAGAAGCTGGCTGAGAACAGGTCTGATAATAGTCCAAACAAAGCCCGAGTATGACTGATGCGAAGCTTCATACTAACAAAAGCTACTGTTCTGAAACAGTCAGGAAAACATGTAGGCTTAATTTAGCTACAGAGTGAATCACTTTAACAATTTCTACATTACTAAAACATTAGTGGATAAACTCAAGATCCAAACTGTTATCCGTTGATAAATTTGCAGCTACAATTTAATAAAATTAGATTGCATTTCTTAT